AATACCCAGTAGGCCGCGAAGTGTCTGTGAAACACGAAGCGAGGGCAGTTGCACTTCACGCAACTCCGACCAGTGTAAAAAGTTTTGTTGTAGCTAGGCACTAGGCCGAGTGCCTAATCAGTGTTTGTGAAAGTTTGCAACAGTGACCCAAAGCTAAGTGAGAGTATGTGCTAAGTGATCAACCAATAAAATGTTCAGGTACTGTGCATTTGTGTTTGCCAATTCGCTTCTCCTTCCTCATCCGAGCCCGACCAGCATTCGCTCTGAGGAGAGACTCACATCAACCGATCTAATCGGATCCACCCTAAGCTCCCTCAGACTCCGTTCAACAGCTCCAGCGGTTCGCTGGCGCCCAATCACCACCACGGATTCCAATCAAGAACCACAAACCCGAAAACCCCAAGGAAGAAGCGGTGGAGCCTGGTCAGGCCGGACACAGCGTAGACCAAGTGAACTTCAGCGGTAGTAGCCAGGTATGTCAGCCTGAGAGTAGCTTGGTAAGCCTCTCTTGTCCTTGTACTACCTACCGGAACCCTTCCCACCCCGCACCCACAAAGGAAAGCAAAGACAAGGACAGCGAGACCTTGTCTTAGACCATTCTGGATACGAGATTTATCAGACAACTGTTTACCTCTACGGACTTTACTTTACGTTCCGCTTAAACACAAGTTCTGCTAGACATGTAAAACGGAGTGTTCAGTCCAGAAGAGATCCAAATGTAAGAACAGAAATCACCTGCTGCATGGTTTCCGCTGGGTAACTTACCTGTGTCTAACAGCATGACGAATGCGGCTTCCCATTTTTCCGTCCCTGTCTATCGCCGTTGACTTCCTCACACTCACACACAAGAGCAATCACCACGCGTTGTGTCCCTTGTTAACAAGTGACTAGTGTCGAAGTCTTCACTGTTGCTGGAACTCCCATTTCGCAAAACTCACATTATCGACTGGCATACAGAAGCACTTAAAAAGACAATTAGAAAATAGTTTTAAAATTCAGCGTCAAGGTCGTTCCCAACTACAATTATTATTATTATTATTATTATTAATAGTATGTACATTCTACATTTCACTAACAGCTTTTAAGCTGTTCTAAAATACGAGGAAATGAGTGTAGATTGTGTGTAACATTGCTTCGAGGAGACAAAATGATATTACAGATCCGTAACATGGCCTATGTTAACTCAGTCAGCTTCTACGCTAGAATTCAGGGTCAGGTGAGATTTTGACGAAAGTGGACCAAGTGTTTGTTGAAACTGAACAAGCGGCCCAGGAAACGGGAACCTGGAAAAGACACTGCATCTGAGCACTTTTCCCTCTGCATCCAATATTTACTGAAGTTTTCTGTTGTATTTTTCGATTGTTTGGGGGCAGTAAATAAGCTCTTTTCTTTCTGTAATGTCGAAACAGATAATGACAAGATGGCACGTATGAGAACGGTGGAAGCAGCATGAGCAGACTAAACAGACTGTTACGAAGGGATTTGGGACATGCGCAGATCGACTCGTTGCTTACTTTCACAGCCTTCCAGTTTCGGCACTCATAATATGGCTACCGTTCTGTCACCCGTTATAACATGCAACTCCTAAAACTTCATTACTGAAACACGAGTACAGCAAACCCCCGTTAAAACAGACCCGCATATAACGTACAAAATCTGGCTGTGTACAATTTTGAATTCTTAGAGTTCCTGAGGCACTAAGAAGGTTTTCATCTTAGAAAATTATATAAAATAAAAATGAATTCAAATATAAAAACTTCAAGCAAACACCCTGTGTGTTTCTACGTTTGTTACGTGTATTGCCTATGTATCCTACGGCGTACTTTCGTGAATACCCCCTTAATTCGGTTATATCAGACATCGGTTACAACGGACACCAGCCCCGCCTTTTGGAGAGGGTAGGTTTCCCCATGCACTTAGACCTGTATTGCTCCATTGTGCTTCCCTCTATGATTTCTACCAGTCTCTATATCCTACCGATACTGGTGCTTACCATCAGTCCCGCCCAGCCAGCGAGACCGGCTCTACTAGCTGAGAGGTATCTATAATGCTTCCCCCATCTACCAGAGGTATTAGAGACTGCTGTTGGGCGGGAAATGTCCGTTAATTTGGCTCAGTGACCTCCTTTGGAGATATGAGGTTCTTTTATGTGCCGTAAAGCTACGACACGGGACCCACGGCTTAAAGTCCCTCCCGGAGGACTTGTTCCCTGAATTTTTCCGCCCTTAAAAATTCGACGACCTCCGCCGGGTATTTGAACCCGCGTACTACGAGTCATGAGGTGGGAACGTTACCTCTAGACTACGGAGGCCGCTAGCCCCGCCTTTAGTCCGTTATAAAGAGGTTTTACTGTATTTGGTTTATGATTATCAGAAGTAAAGGTAAAGCTATCCCTGTTAACAGGACATGGAGGCCCATAAGGTTGTGAGACGTCAAGCTCCCACATTTTCTAGACAATCGACTAACAGATGGCGGTGAGGTTGTCAGCCTTATGCGCCGGCCGCCTTTTACCACCTAGGAAGATTTCTGGTACTCATTTCTGTAGAGATTGAGTAGACCCCAGGGCCATAGTGCGGCTGGAATGATTAGGTCATTTGAAAATATCCACCTCATGGGGACTCGAAACCGCGACCTTCCGGCTTGTAGCATAGCGCCTCAACCAACTACGCTACCTCGTGCCCCCACGATTATCAGAGTCCTAGTTGGAATTATGACTCAATGGCAATGCGCACGGCTCCTTCCTGAAGCAGGCGTGAGTCCCCACGAGGCAGTTTCTCGTTTCATCAATGCCCACAGTTGAGTTCTGCAAATGCGGCTGTGCGCGTGAAAATGAAGAATCTCCACTGTGAGGAGCCGTTGGCAGGGGACAGCTGATGAAGACACAGCAAGGTGGAAAACGGCTTAGCGGATGCTGTGGTGATGAGTAAAGTGTGGAGATTAGTTTCGAGTGGTGTGTATAGGTGGTCAATTAATTCATTCAACAATCCATACCCCGTCTGAAGTCACAGACACATACACGTGCAAATATTATATGCAAGAATCACAGATAGCATTGCCATTTTGAGGAACAGAAACACTACTGAACTGAAAGAGAGTGATCTCCATGGCTCAAATGAATAAGAGGACCATATAAAAAGCTTGACAGGGAGAATAACTCAAAATTTACGTACAGGTTTACAAAATATTCTGTATGCATCAAACGTTTATCTGCAGAAGCTTGGACTGTCTAAGCTGTCCGGAGGTCGCACTGCACCTTCCGTTTGAATTTGATGATAATTAAGAATGGCTGTAGTTTAGCGGTTCTGTAGTTTAGCCGTTCATGCAGACATTTTAACTAGAAATGCACATGAGGAAGAAAACAACTGTGACGACAAACCTAAAGCTGCTCACTGCAACAAAATTAAATTTGGAAGAGTTCCGAGTTCCATATATATCAAGGTCATGGCTGGAAACCTGCGGCGCCGACCAGCCTCCACGCGCGGTTCACACTACTGAAACAACCGTTTCCCATTCACAGACCGATGAAGCTCGATGGAGTGTGCTCTGTGTCAAACGCCCGCGTTTAAGAATATTTCTGTTAATACTGTGACGTGCTGCCTGAAAGCCGGACTATAAGACGTCCATCACTAGTCAACGGCTAGCAATTCCTAGACAGCGATGCCTAGGAAATCGTTGCCCCGGATATGGAAGTCTAACAGTGGGGGTTCCACCGTTACGAACGAATTGTTTGAGGCAGACACGTATTCCCGCGGCAACGAATTGTTTGAAGCAGCGTTTGCATAACAGCGGGCGAAATAACCCTTCGACAAGGTGTTCCCTATTCAGTCCGAGTGCAGGATGTAACAGTTAAACTTCGGCAAGAGACCAGTCTGCCCGTGTGGAGGCGGGGTCGAATACCTCCACCGTGACCCTGCGAGTCGTAAGAGGCGACGAAAAGGGAAGTCTCAAATCTGAGAGAGTAAAATATGGTCTCGAGTCCCAAGGGACTCAGACCCGAGAAAGACTGCACTGGCAAGGACCAGCAGCATATACAAAAGGCAGACACGTCCTCTCGTCAGAGAGGGCGCCCCACAAAAACAAGACCGTAAATGTCAAATACTAATAAATATCTGTTCATGAGCCCCAGATGAAGGTCTACACCAGACTGACTGACTGACTGACTGACCGTCAGTGACTTGGACTTGGAGACCAGTCAATTTAGCTTCGATGAGAGCTAAGGACAGCTGAACTCCGAGCAGGGCAGATGACACTTCACCGAGATTAGCGGTACGAGAGGGTATAACACGGAAGAGGAAGCGCCCGAAGACGTTATATGTGCGAATAATTGTATTTGTAAGCGTAAAGAGTGATCGTCCAATAAATACTCGTCCAAATCCGAGACCCACGTAAATTTCTTGTCGCGTTGCCTAGGAAACACGCGGCTATATAAATGCTCATCATGTCTCTATGTGACATCACAGCTACACAGGGCAGAATCGCGCAGGAAACAAAGCACGGGAATCAGTCTGTGCAGCACATAGTAACGCGTACAGTGGAACCTCTGTACAAACGTGCTGTAATCTTGAACACAGCAAGACATGAAGAAGGGTTCGGTAGTTGAGAGCACAGTTTTTCTAGACATGTACACTTAGACGGTAAGGTACAGTGAAGTTGTCCCTCTGCTTAGCTAATTACGCACTACGCCATGAAGGCGTATGGGGGAGTGGATATATAGATCCATATTTTATTGACTGCGGCTGGAAGTGAGTGGTCAGCTTCACGTCCCTGCCGCTTTACTCCCCAGGTACCTATTGGATAGGAGGCTGGGTGGGCCCCAGATGACGTGGAGAAGAGAAAATTCTTTACCCTACTGGGACTCGAACTCCGACCCCTATGTCGTCCAGTCCGTAGCCAGTAGGTATACCGACTTTGCTTATACATAGGGGGAGTCTACCTAAAAGAATGCCGCGATTTCAGACGCCTGTAGTTTAGGAAAGAAAACGGATATCAATTGAAACAGTTTTCTTGCACACAAGTGGTTGGGTGCGAAACACTTCACAGTGAGCACCATCTGCAGCTCCCCATACACCCCCACCAATTTTTTATTGTTAATGAGGTAGGACTAAGTCCCTTGTACTGCGGCCACTTCTGGCCTATTGTACCAGCCCCAGATGATAGGTGAGGGTGATTGTGGAGCAATTGGTGGAATGAAGATTGGCAGGGGAAACCGAAGCACTCGGATAAAAACTGCCCCAGCGCCACTTTGTCCACCACAAATCCCACTTGACCAGACCCGGGATGGAACCCGGGCCGCCGCGGTGGGAAGCCACCGACTAACCGCTTAAGCTATGACGCGGTCACCAGGATGAGGCTAAATGCGGCACCAGATCTGATAATTCGACTTTCCAGCATCAAACCAAAAACAATTTATGCGGAGAAATAACGAGGGGGGGGGGGGCACTCTTCGCACAGAAAATTGCAAATATTTGTATGTTAATTATCAAGCTTACACAAGAAAAGTAAAAATCTGTTTCTAGATACGTACAATTAACTAAATCATTGCCCTCATATTCTTACTTAATATTTATTTATTAATATCCGTATTTATTTGCGGTCTAGCTTTTAGCTCGTTAAAAAAATGTTTCTGATGTGGATGTATCCGTGGTCAAATTCAACCGCGAAACGCTGGTCCCTGCCATCAGGTCACGTGGGAGCTGAGGGTTCGTCGCTGTAAGGACCCAAATCCCTCGTTGGAGCCTGTCCTAGCCAGTTGTCTAATTCACATGGCGACAATAAATTTCTTTATAACTCTTGTTAATACTAATTTCCCATCCATGCCTATGTTTTTCAAGTAGGATTTTGTAATAACGAATTTCAATAAATATTGTTTTTTAATTCTTACTCCTTCCGTAAAGCATGTTTCACAGTTGATTGTTCGTTTTCTTAAATCTTTGAAGAATATTCGTATATTAATATTTAGAATCCGCAAAAAAGAAATGCTTCCCTCCAATTCTACCTACACACGATTTCCATTATCCGCCATTACATGTAGAACGTCTATACATACACTCAGGAAGTGTAATACTGTGATGAAGCAACAAACCTTAATTTGGACTTTTTTAAGTCCTCCATTTGACCCATTTTTCGCAGAAGCTACGAAAGTGTTAACGCACAGAGAAATGTAACACACAACCTACACTCGTTCACTTTGTGCAACACGCCTGAATGCGCCCTCTCCGCTACTAACCAGCAAACAACTGCACGGTTTCCGCTCGACGGTACACGTGCGCAACCATACAGCCCTAACAGCAACACACTACTGAGACGACTGAGACAGCCTCTCCTTCTCCGAGTCAACTACGGCTCACGGAAGGGGAGAGAGAGGGCAGGACTTTGTCAGAACTGCACTCGGGACCATTTATCTCGGCCCGGCAGTACCATAAATTGACGGTAAGCAGTGGCGTATGTTTCCAGTGCATTCCTAACCCTCAGAGACCCCTCCGAGAGGGTTCGCAATAGCCGTTAACATCCGGTGACCAGCATGCATCATGGTGGATGCGTTGCTATAACGTGCTGAAGCTACGAATGCCAACTTAGCAATGAAAGGACAGAGCAGTATAACTAAAAATTTCAGAGATAAGGATAGTAAGAAGCTTGAAGATGATCAAGCAAATTGTAGTGCGGAATTAGGGCCTGTAAAGTCTATGACAGCGTTTATCTTCGACGATACAGAATCTGTGAATTGCACCGCAGAAGCAATTTGTCAGACTAGCCGTTGAAACTAATTCTTTTGGTTTATTTTGGACTTCACCCATCGTCTGGTATGTGAAAGACAAAAAACCACGACGTTTCGGAGACTGGATCTGTCTCCGTCTTCAGGTGGATAGGGAAGGATAAACGTACTCAGTTGGGCCCCTTAGAAAGAACTAGTCTCAATCACTGGATCCAATCAATCCAGTGATTGAGACTAGCTCTTTCTAAGGGGCCCAACTGAGTAGGTTTATCCTTCCCTATCCACCTGAAGACGGAGACAGATCCAGTCTCCGAAATGTCGTGGTTTTTTGTCTTTCACATACAAGACGATGGGTGAAGTCCAAAATAAACCAAAAGAAGTAGTGTATACACTATCGTCAGAATCCTTTCAAGTCTATCTAGCCGTTGAAAGCAACATATTACATGACAAAGTTTTGTTACTTTAATCTGCTGCAGTAACTGATTTTGCGGTAAACCTACCCAGCACTAGTGACTGATACACACCTACTAGAAGAGCAGTGACACGACTGTAGGCAGCCCGATGTGTGAGGGCTGTTCGTGTAATGGCAACATTAGAAAAAATGCGAAAATCTTGGCCCTGCAATTATGCAATCGTAAACTTGAGCTGTTTAATTCTTGCCAGGCTGGCAGTACGAGCGAATACTGTCAGTCCACATGCTCCAAGGGACAACGGACAGTGCGCACCCGTTCAATGGGACACAAAATAATATGAATTTCAAGGCTGGCCAATTCTGTCTTTTGTGTCTCTGAACAGTGTGCCTGTCAGCAGTGTTCCTGACCCTTCGAAAACACAAATAAAAACTCCGTGGCCTGTAGTCCGCAAGCGAACTATACCTACCGAGCGACCGCCGCTTGTCGGCAAAGATAGTGCCAACTTTTGCGGAAAGAGGGTGTCACGTGGTTAGCGCAACGCATCCTCACAGCCTTTAATTTCGGTTTTCTAGACCAGAACCGTTATTTCCTTGAAATAGCTCGTCAATTATCCTCACGATGCTAAGTGGACCCAGTTCCAGAGCCACTACTTCTCCGAAAAAATCTGGTAGCGCCGGGAATCGAACCCAGACCTCTAGATCTGTAGCCAGGAACTCTGACCACTAGACCACTAAAGCAAGCACATGTTCCCTAAGTTTTCAGGGCCGTCCAGACAGCTTTCCACACGCTTTGGAAGTACATCCTGCCTCAAACTTCACGGTCAACCCGACAGTGTTGTCGATGTTTCGGAGACATGTTCTGCCTCCATCTTCAAGTTCAACCAAGAGAGTGTCACCAACCTTTAAGAACCATATGCTGTCTCCACCTTCAGGGTCATCCTTGATGGTTTTGTCGAAGTTTCAGAGACACCCTTCCTCAATCTCAATCCTGAATGTAGACGCGGCAAGCCCGTACAAGTGTCGGCAATGCTGCCCACATCCACATGGCTTGTCAAATTCAAAGTTCATGCAAATGGGATTGGAAACTTGGATGAAAGAGATTTCCGGAACACGCAAGTTTCCCAGACTAGTCAGGAAAATAATGGGAAGCGTTGCAGCAGGTTACCTCAGCAGGAGATACAAGTGCCTTCGTGTTCACTAACGACATGGTCTCTTGACAGAAGAAGTGTGCTGTTAGCTGAGACCATTCGGTGAAGCACTAGGGAAAGTTTAATGGATTGGGAAGCAACACCATTCCACAAATGGTGCTTAGGTCAAGGCCGTCATAAAGCATCAGTGGGAAAGCGAGATTTATATACCCAGAAGCCGAGACGGTTCCGAGTTCTCTCTCTCTCTCTCGATATGTTTCGCACTCCGAAAGCCTGTCAGTAGCTCGGACACATTGATGGTTGGTAGATTTACTTACTTACTCATGGAGCTGAGCCCTTCTGGAGGAGCCGCCAATTCTGCAGCTACTCAATTTCCCAGCATTTCATGGAACCCGAAGGTTCATTACCGTGTTCACGAGAGCCCTCCGCTGGTCCCTATCCTGAGCCAGATCAATCCATCCCATCCCTCTAAGATCCATTTTAATATTGTCCACCCACCTGCGTCTTGGTCTTCTCAGTGGTCTCTTTCCTTCTGGCTTTCCCACCAATATCCTATACATATTCCTCGTTTCCCAAATTCGTGCTACATGCCCAGCCCACCTCATCCTCCTTGACTTGATCATTCTAATTATACTTGGAGAAGAGTACAAGTTATGAAGCTCCTCATTACGCAGTTTTCTCCAACCTCCTGTCACTTCATATCTCTTCGGTCCAAATATTCTTCTCAACACCCTGTTCTTAAACACCCTCAGTCTATATTCTTCCCTTACTGTCAGAGACCAAGTTTCACACCCATAAAGAACCACAGGCAAAATTATAGTTTCTTATATTCTAATTTTTATGTTTTTGGGCTGGTGTATAACATTCAGAATTACTGAGCTGTCTGGAATTAGGCCATCGTCCGGTATTCTAGACATTAGAAAAAACAGTGTTTCGGAAACTGGATATGTTTCCGTTCTCAGGTAAGAAGGAAGATACGTACTTAGTTGGGTACCATTTATCAGCAATGAGGCTTCCAACTCACAGACTAGGTCTGTATGTAAGATTTGAGGCTTTCACGGCGGTGACTATGAAGAAAGCAGTCTTCTGGGATTTGGCACCGTGTATATGTGGTGTTAACCGACGTTTCGGAGGAACGTATCCCCTCCATCTTCAGGGTAGAAGAAAAAATATAAGAAATCTGCAAGCGAAGAGACCGTGAGAACCGGTAAAAGCAGACTGTTCTCTGCCGGTTCTCACGGTCTCTTCGCTTGCAGATTTCTTATATTTTTTCTTCTACCCTGAAGATGGAGGCGATATGTTCCTCCGAAACGTCGGTTAACACCACATATACACGGTGCCAAATCCCAGAAGACTGCTTTCTTCAAGGTCTGTATGGTCTGTATGACGTGAGAAATTCTTCATGGATTTCCATAAGGTTTTAGTCTCGAGTGTTCAGGTTTTACTCCACAGATGGCTCTATCGGTAGGCATTACATGTCTTCCATTTTCTGTCTTAGTTTCACGCAGTGCGTCCTCTAACATAATTTTCATTGAGTATTTTCTTGTTGTCTCCCGCCGAATTAGCCTGGTCTCAAGTGGTTAAATAGCTGCAGTGAATCAAACAGCCGTAGGAGGCGACGAAAAAGAAGCCCAGTGCCTGGGGTTACAACTGGACCACCCTGTTCCTGAGGAGTATAAATACCGGAGCCTGGGCCTCCAGGTTGGGAGAGTCTTGAATTTGAGATAGTAAAATATGAACACGAGTCCCGCGGGAGTCGGACCTGAGAATGACTGCGCTGGCGAGAGCCAACAATTGTAAACTACACACCCATCTTCTCGTCAGAAAGGGTGTTACATAAGGACTATGGAAGCAAGTATTCGGTTGAAAAGAAAATTGCTGGTCGTGAGTTTGAATAGGCTTGAAGCAAAGAAGAACTGATTGGCGGCAAACCGCCAGTCGTAAAGTAAGTCTGACTCTGACTCTGACAGGGGGTGTAAAATCCCGTGTGCAGGCGGTGTAGAATATCTCCACCGTAGCCCTGCGAGTCGTAAGACGCGACGAAAATGGAACAGAGCGCTTGGGATTATAATCGACACACTCTATTCCTGGGAGATGTAAATACGGGGACTTGGTCCTCCAGGTTGGTGAGTCTCGAATCTGAGACAATAAAATGTGGTCATAAATCCCACGGGACTCGGACCTTAGAATGACTGCGCTGGCGAGGCCAGCAGCAATTGTAAACGACAGACCCATCCTCTCGTCAGAGAGGATGTTGCATAAGGACTATAACCGCAATTGTTCAGTTGGAAAATGAAATTACTGGTCGTGAGTCTCAAGGGGCTTATTGCCAAGACGAACTAATTGGTGGTAAACCGGCCTTCATAAAGTATTTTTTTATTTTTTTTATTGCTAGTGGGGTGGGACTAAGTCCCTTGTACTGCGGTCACTTCTGGCCTATTGTACCAGCCCCAGATGATAGGTGAGGGTGATTGTGGAGCAATTGGTGGAATGAAGATTGGCAGGGGAAACCGAAGTCCTCGGAGAAAACTTGCCCCAGCGCCACTTTGTCCACCACAAATCCCACTTGACTAGACCCGGGATCGAACCCGGGCCGACGCGGTGGGAGGCCAGCGACTAACCGCTTGAGATATGCCGCGCCCCCCGTCGTGAAGTAACTCTGACTCTGATGTGGGTTGTCCAGTGACTGAGTTCAGCTCTGTCTAAGGGACTCAACTGAGTAGTGTGTTACCCCTTCAACTGAGGACGGAAACATGTTTTCTAGTTTCTAGAATACAGGACGGTGGACAAAGTTCAAACCCCCAGTAACCCTGAGGGCTGTATTGCAGTTTCAGCTGTTTCAACCTGCGGATCGTCAGAATTGTCTGGAGTTGATCGCAGATGTAAAATAATTACATAAATTACGATGGAAGGGTCGAAAATCGCCTGCCTATTAGAAATTAACTCTCGTATTGTTTTATGGAATAATTTATATTTTCAGGCTATGAAATTGGTTGAAATGCAGAGATGTATAT